CAACAAAAAAACAAAAAAGGGACTGCACTAACAAAATTTTGCCACTCGTTCCGCAGATCCTAGAGTCACAGTTGCCTCCATGGGAGGCCTAAGAACCAGCGGAGGAAGGGCCATGACGAAAACTTTCAATCCTAGCCCCTCTCCTACTTCGCACCTCTATCCAAACCTCTTCACAATCCAAGGACTGAGATGAACGAGTGACGCTCAACACAGTACCATTAGACCTGATCACTGGACCTCCTTCAAGAGTAATGTCAATAAGAAAGACATCTAGCCCTACCTGAAGCCTAATTTTCGTGGGAACTGGAATTGACGCAGCTCTCTGTCAACTCTGACTGTCACGACCCCTAATCAAAGCCTAATCAACCGCACAATATTCCCCACAAAAGTTAGCTAGTCTCTTAAAGACAGCCAAATTCAAGATATGCAAGGGCACTCCCTAAAATTTCGCCAAACTCTCAACCTTTTGAATAATTAAAAAAACAAAAAAAAAGTCAAAGGCTTCCACTGTTCCAAAGCAAGCAATTTGCGTCGAACTCTTCAAACTCTATATCGTAACACCTCAACTATCTCCCGATTTAAGAATAAAACTCTTCCATTTCTAAAGGCGTTAACTTCTAGAAAATAAGCCCAATCACTCAGTCATTGGATGGGAGGTTAAACGATCCAACAATCATTGACGAAGCCTGCCTACTATTTTATTGAAAATCCTTCAGATCAACAGACATCGAAGGGATAAGCCACCAATCGTCATCTTCTGGATCACCACCACTACTCTTTCCTGCCGTCTCCATCTCCGATCAATCTTTGAAAAGCCTCTCTCTCTCTCTCCAAACGATAACAATCCTAGATCTATTTCTTGCAAGGCAATTATCCAATCTTGCAATATATTATCTACACTGTTGAGTTCAAGATTTTCATATATTTATAGATCTCCTTAATTTGAACTATTTTTAGAGTTTAAAATTTTATAATTAAAAAATAAAATAGATTCTTAGGCCCTTCTAACAAATTTTTATAGCAAAATTACATGTTATGATAAACTTTAGAGGTGTTCCTTATTTCGATTATTTAAAATTGCAACCTTATGCAAACCATACCCTAAATATAAACCTCAATATCACCGAGCTAGGGATCCTGAGGATCGGGGTTATACCGTTAGATATTTCAGTAAAACCTCCCCTTACTAATATGTACCACATTTGGTGCAAAAGTAAGATGTGATGATCATATTCTGAGGTTTCTCTGCTAGAATCTCCTTCGGAACCTTTTTACCTAGACTCATAGAGTGGCAATTTCGATGTTAACGCATTAGTGTCATTTTGATGTGCTAGAGAGAGGTACTTTTTTTTATTTTTGGTCATTGAGAGAGACTACTTACCGAATTGCGTTTTGCTGAGAGAAACTAGTTATATTCATCAAGTTTTTTTTCCTCTTTCATCCTTTAACAATATTTATCAAGTATTTGTGACGAAAAAGTCCTCATGTTTGGTTTGCATAAAACTATTTTTGTGTAAGTATTTTCGCATCAAAGAACTCCCTCACATAATAAGGTTTGGGAGTTTTTCACAACAACCGGTCACAGCTCAGTTTTGCACACTAATTGGCAGCAAATTGGCATGAAAAAACTCTCATACCCAGAAATTCTTCATTATGAAAAGATTTTCACGCGTATCAAACAAGCTCGAAATTCAGGTTCTCTTATTATTGAGGGTGTGGGTCTCTCTCTTTCTAAACCACATTTACTTTTAGTTAGCCGGAAAAAGAAACAAGAGTCAACTATATATTAAAGTCTTTCTAGGCAGAAAGGGAGTAATGGATGGAATTTATTAAGTTTTGTTGGGGTGAATGCTTCTTTGATCCTACCTACCAGAACTAAAAGAGAATGCTTCTTTGGTCGTCTCGAGGAATCCAATCTCAACGGCATTGGAACCACACTAAAGAATAAGAAAAAAAGGGGAATAAAGCCAATGCCAAAACACCACTCTTTTTGTCTTACCTGAAGCGATCCTCCCTATGGTCTTCACATGAGAGAAGAAGCCTTTAAAAGGCTTGAGGGCTACCCACAAAATCCTAGAGCAAAGTCCTCTCTTAACAACACAACAAAACAAAAATAGGCCCCCCATCATTTACGTTGTCTATGTGAAAGAAACCCCTGCACTTTGTCTTCCTATCACAAGATCCCTTGGGCACCTCCGTCCCTCTCTCTTTCTATAAGACCTTCCACACAAGTAACAAAGCCACCCTTGTTTCCTTCCCAGCAATATATAAGACTTTGCTCCTCCTAACATTCCTAGAAATTAGTCATGATGGCCCCTCTAGCAGCAACAGCAACCCTCTTCCCCTGCAAGTGCTCCATAGGTCGGGAGCCCGATGCATCGCTACCGCTCAAACCCAACAAAAATATGGTGAAGATCAACGGAAACTCAGCAACAAGAGTTGAGGTGGCCACGGCTGTGGCTTCTATGACACCCCCTATAGGAATGAGAGGAGTTGATGAGGAGCTTGCCGTTTTGCCCAAAAGCTTCCGACAAAATATTCCGACAAAGAAACAGACAACCGATTCTTACAGGCAGGGGGTCCTCATCTTAGGTGGGGTTGGTTACCGACAAACCGTTGTTATTCGGTCTTATGAAGTTGGTGCAGACAAGACAGCCACTCTTGATACCTTCCTCAATCTTTTTCAGGTGAACACTACTCTGAAAATTCTCTCCATTTTCTGGTGGTTTATGTTCTAGTTTTGGCTTTACAGATTTTTCTTGGGGCAATTTTTCTTTTCGAGTTTTAGATGTGTCGAGATTATGACCATTTTAAAAATTAATGTTAAACAATCGTTGTTCTTAATGTTTATTATATTATCAGTCGCCGCATTCACAGATGCTATGAACGTATATCCCCGTGTGAGTGTGTGAAAGAGAGAGAATTAAGGGTGTCTCATTATAAGACTTGACATTTTTAATAACTGAAATTACAGAAACGTAATCACCTCAAAGAAAAAACAGCCTTATTTCATATACAACAAACTCAAGAAATGAAAACATTTTTACTCTTTTTGCCTTTTCTCATATTCCTTCTATAGGATTATCTCATCTTCCCGAATTGCTGCCTTTTGTTTCTTCCCTTTTCATTTTTGTTCCCTTCAAATGGCGTGTGCATTGAGAGTTCCTAACTGAAGTACAGAGAAAAGCTTAGCATAATGGGGGGCATATTAGACTAAGGCAGTACATGCAACCAGCCCCATGGGGAAGAGTTTCACACTTGGCCGTACCCACTAGCCCAGGCCATACTAGTGAGGTTTCGAAATCAATGAGGTTTCATACTGCAATAAAGGACTCTCTTTCTCTCAAAATCAAGGATGTATATGTCGTCATTTAGATAAGGATTGTAAGAAGGCCCTCAACTGCCCTGGAACTAATCAACGGAAATGTAGTTATTGGTAGGGCCGGGCCTAGGCGGAATCTATATAATTGAAAATAAATAATAATTTAAATAAAAGAAATATAGGGCAAGGCAGGGCCGGGCCGGCCCTATCATGGCCTTGTCCCAAACCCTACTTTTTCAAGGTGGGGTAGACTAGGCCAGGCCACCCGGCTTATTGCCAGCCCTAGTTATTAAACAGTTAAAAAAAAAAAAATTATTGCACTTTACATAGCCGACTTCAATTAATTGAAAAAAAAGCTAAAATGATGATGAAGGAGTGAATTTCAGAACGATAATATAATTTCTCTAATGTTACATTTTCTATCCAATATTACGACCCTAACTCTTTAAAATGTCAAAAAGTGAATTAACTGGGAAGATATGATGATGATGATGAAGGAAACGGCGTTGAATCACGTGTGGATGTCGGGCTTACTGGGGGATGGATTTGGTGCAACCCATGGCATGATAAAGAACAACCTCATTTGGGTCGTATCTCGCATGCAGGTTCAAGTTGATTCCTATCCTATTTGGTGAGCAGTCTTGCTCCTCTTCAACACTCTCTCAACCATCTTAGGCTCGCACACATACGTAATATCTAAAGATAACAACAAGTGCCTTCTTAGTAGTCTTTTCATAAAAATTATAGTGCATACAGATCATCTACCTTTGGCACAATAAGCAATCATCCTTAGCAACCATATGTAAAATTTAACAACTTATATTGTCTCAGAAAATTTAAAAAATCTCTTTTTTTGTCTACTAACCGGATCAATAGCACACCCGCAGGTCTGCCAATTTCACATCTAAAAGCTAAAGGTAATTGTGACCTCCTTGTACCAAAATCAAATATTTTTTATTTTTTTACATATATCAACACTCATGCATTTATACACATGCTCCTACAAGAGCATATTTTGCACTTACTCCCTTGAGTGAGAGATCCGCTTAGGAGTTTTTCAATCAAAAATTTCGGAGTTCACTAAAGAATCACCATATAATTATGAAACATAAAAACATAAATTAACATAAAATCGGTTTTTTAATATTTAAGATGTCACATTTTTTGAAGTTACATTCATGATTCATTTTTTACTTTTGTTTTCTTAAGCTTGCTAACTAGGCTGAAAATGGTGCATCCCTTGAATTTAGAAAGGTAAGAATACAAGAGATGGCAGCCAGCCTAAGAACCTGGCTAAGCTTGGGCCTAAGCTAGCATATGTGGCCCAGAGGGCCTGGCAGTTCTTGGCCTAACCGTACCAAATAAAAGGGGAGGGCCTGGACCTAGCTCCACCTCTTTCCAATGGCCTAGGCAAGGGCTCTAGCCTGGTAGGCTCAAACTAGACCATTGTCGACCCTTAATAATACTCCTTGAATACATTTTACGTCCTTCATGAGTGAATGGAGAAAATTATCCACGGGAGCATAAAAACTTTTGACTAGATTTTATATGCCATAGACTCCCCTAAAATATAAGTTAAATTAATAACTTCTAATATTATATTTGTCAAAAAAAAACTTCTAATATTATGTAAGGAAAAGTGGAACCTAGCGTCGCCTCACTGTGGATAATTGATAACCTCTAAATTTTCAATGGTTTATCAAAAATAATGAAAATATAATGTAAAATAAATTATTATAAGGTGTTTATTTAACTTTGAAAAAAATTTATATAAGATTGCAACCCTTGAAATGTAGAATTGAAGTGCACCACAAAAGTCCATCAAAAAAAGCTGTTCTGATATTGAAAAATTATATAATCGATCATCTCATCATCGAGATCTATGAACATGAAAAAAAAACAAGATTCCAAATCCCAAAACTGGTGTAGCTTGCAATATATTATCTAATATATTATCTCGACCGTCCATATTAAAAAAATTTCTATGTTTATAGATCTACTTGATTTGAACTATTTTTAAAAGTTTAAAATTTTATAATTAAAGATAAAAATGGATTTTCAAGTCATTATGAATTTTTTACATCAAAATTACATCTTATTGCCTTAATTTGATTGTTTAAGATTGCAACCTAATGCAAACCACACGCTTTAAAAAACAAATTGCCTATGTACTTCCTAAATGTATTGTATAATGTGCACATTACAGTTTTAAGAGATCCAAAAATAATGGATTTTGATTTAGACAAAATATATTATAAAGTTATATTAGGAGGAACATCGCATTGAATGGTGAAAAGTTCTAAATGGTTCGAGAAAGTAACTTGTACTAAACTCAAACGTAGTGGGTAATGCTCTTCTGAGTATTTACACATAAGATGCCGGTAAGAAGGGAGGTGAAAAAGCCCACATAGAGTGGGTCCAAGAAAGGGGAAAAATGGAAAGTAATACAAAAGCATAAAATTAAATAAACAAATTCACATGGATTTGCAATCTTTATTCTACTAAAAACACCCAATGTTCCATGGACGCGAAAGCGGCCGCCTAGGCAGGCCTGCCAATACCTGGGCAGCCCAAAGGCAAGGGAGTTCGGGTAGGAGCCATATATTGTTTTTTGTTTGTGTGTGTTTAGTAAATTTGCCTGTGCATACACATATCCGTGTGCATGAAGTCTCATTTGAAAAATTTTAACCATCTTTTTTTTTTTTTTTAGGATCTATATATTTGAGAGAGGTCCCGAAGAGTTGCAGATTTGGAGGATATATATATATATATATATATAACAACAGATAGG